GGGGGGGGCGATGCAAGATAAAGTCGCGCCTTCCCGCCCGCATCTTAGGAACCCTGGCCTTGTATATTGTCCAAGGAAGCGCTGCAGCCAATGGACACGTCGTGGGCTCCGCAGTCGCCAGAGTTGTCAACACCACAGCCACAGCCACAGCCACCACAGCCACAGCCACCACAGCCACAGCAGCCACAGCAACACCCGCCACAACACGCCGTCCCTGCCACCACCGCCGCCGCCGCCGCCCTCACACCCTCCCCCCACTCCTTTTTCTCTCCTCCCACCTCGGATCCAGCACTGCAGGCGCACGTGCAGCCGCTGCCCCCCACAGTCACTTCTGCATACATGCCTCGTCGTGCGCCCCGGGCAGAGAGCTTGCAAGATGCAGACTATCTGCCCGACGCCGCCTCGCTGCCCGCCTTGTCTGATCATGGCAACAATGGCCTCGTCGCTGGCCCACCCTCGCTGCCCCCAAATACCGACAACATCACCATCAAGAATCACTTCCCCGTCGCCAGGATAAAGCGCATCATGCAGGCCGACGACGACGTTGGCAAAGTGGCACAAGTCACTCCAGTCGTAGTCTGTACGTCTTGCCCAACATCCGTTTTTTTTCTCCTTCCTCCTCACCAAGGGTTTCAACCCCAATGGCTAACAAAAGGCCCCAGCAAAAGCGCTAGAGCTCTTTATGATCTCTCTCGTCACCCGCGCCGCCGCCGAGGCCAAGTCGCGCAACTCGAAACGCGTCGGCGCCATCCACCTCAAGCAAGCCATTATGAAGAATGAACAATTCGACTTTCTCAACGACATCGTCTCCAAGGTCGCCGACGCGCCCGACAGGAGCGAGGGTGACAGCATGGATGCGGACGGAAAGAAGAAAAAGGTGTCGAGTAGGAGGAGGAAGAAGGCTGAGAGTGATGATGAGTTTTGAGCGAGTACCCCAGGTGTTAGCAGGACAATCATCTAGGCCAGATCTTCACGGGCTACCCATTCGTGCCAAGTTCTTCTAGTCCAGATGATCAGACCAACGTAGGCCGCCTCGAGGAATATCAAGGCCTGCACCTACGCTGTAAGAGGATAACGGGCGTGCGGTGCGGTCTGCTCAATGGGAGCCACCGACCTCAAGGGAGTCTGGCTATGCAGCTGAGCCAGCTTTTGCTTTTCATACGAATGGGGCTTCACGAAACACTTGCCCCAACTGATGACCTTGGGAACTTGGGATGAGTCAAGCACGCACGCTTGTAGATGACTTCACGGTGGTTGAAAGTGCACAAGCTACGCGCCTTGCTCGGCATCTCTCCTGGCTGCTGCTGCTGCTGCTGCTGCTGCTTCATTCGCAGGTACTGGAAACATGGAAGGGAAGGAGAGCAACAAGGGGACCACGTGATATAAATGGATAAATCAATGACTGCCAAGATACCCAATCACCATGCACTGACTGACTGCCCTGGTCATCTCCACACTTTTGGAAGAGAGACCCGATGCGAACCGCAGTTCTTTGCACGCGATACACTAACATGGTCTCCAACTTCATCTGGGGGCCTGGGCAGTCTACCTAGCGAGCAACGTCACGCATTCGCCAGAGGGCGCAGTTCATATGACCATGGAATTAGCGCTGCGTGAACTCGTATTTGGCATAGGGTTAGGCCGTGCCAAGCTCTACTAGCTAGCTAAGCAAGGTTAACTAAACATTATGCTATAAGATTTTGCAACGCGTTCTAAACCTATTCTAAATATATTCTATACTAGTAACACCACAAGCTACTACTACTATGCCTATTACTAACGCATCCCTCTTATCCTACGTAAGCAGATTAAAACATATTTAGAACGTGTTCTTAATAGGTTATAGAAGCACTATTAATAGTACCTTGCCCTTAGCTACGTCCTAGATAATATTAGGGCATAGCCTATAGTTAGCCCTAATAGGGTAGTTAAGATAAAGAGTAGAGAGCGCTACTACTATACTAAGATTAATAACAAGGGCACCTTATATAGAGTAAGAATAGGTTCTAAACATGTTCTAAATAGGTTCTAATATTCTTAGGCTGTTCTAGGTACTAGGGGCACTCTATATACCTATGCTAAAAAAGATTATAGGCTTAATATAGCCTACTATAAGGTTAGTAAGGTTAAGAAGACTAGCTAGCCCTCTATAATAGAGGTCCGCAAGGTAAAGAGTAAATATATTATTAACCTATTCTTAACTTATTATACTAATATATATAGACTTCTATATAAAGGTTATATATAATTACTAGAACGCTCCTTACTATAAGTTATTTAGAATATATTTAAAACTTATTACTAATATATTTTATAGAAGTTCTCTAAGCCTAGCTAGCAGCTACTATAGGCCCCCCTATAAATACTAATACCCTCCTAAATATAATTTAGAAGAAGACTTGCAGTAGCTATAATAGTAATAAGGTACAGCCTGCAAGAACCTGTTAAAAACACATTACTAACTTATTATAGCTTAACTTTATTGCTATATCTACCCTACTAAGGATTTAAGGTTATTAGGTTCCTTATACTATCTACGCTTGCAATTATCCTAGCTATAGTAAGTTATTTATAATATATTGTTAACCTATTCCTAACGTGTTTTAAGACTATTACTTTAATACTAGTGTAGACCTTACTAATTCCTGCTAGAATGCCGCCTAGTTCCACTTGCGGTATGCTTTTGTAGAGCCTAGGGAGGATAGGGAGGATAGAGAAGATACTAGAGAGGGGGAGGGAGATAATAATAGCAATAAGTAGGAACACGTTAAGAACGTGTTAAGAACAGGTTCTAATAAATAATATACAATAGTATATAACCTAAAGGGGTAGTAGTAATTACTAAAATAAACTCTCTACTCTTCTCTTTTTTTTTCTATCTACTAAAAGTAAAGTACTATTTACTTTTATAGGGTCCTTTAATAGTATATAACTTTTTCTTTTAACTTTTATAGGTATTATAAAGCTCTAGCAGTCCCTTAGATTAAAGAAGAATCTAGCATTTATAGGTGTCTAGCTCATAACGCTTATTAGATTAATATATTCTAAATGTGTTTTAAGAGACTAGACTTATATCTCCTTTTTACTACTTTTGCTAAATATTATTTATAGTGTAAAGGGGAGCAACTATTTACTCCTCTTCTTTACTCTCTGCTTCCTCTTTAGCCTCTACTCTAGCTACTACTTCTTATTATAGACTAGCTATCTTAGAGGGTTCTTAAACCTTAGAGGAGGCACTTAGTGTAGTCTGCTCTACTAGCAGAGAATATATTGTTAACGTGTTTAGAACACGTTCTTAAGCATTTACTATTAAGCTCCTATAGAAGATCCTTGCTTCTATAATGCCTTGTATTGTGGTTCTGCCATAGTTTACTAGGGCTATTTAAACCTTAGGATAATACCTCTTAAGGTAGTAGATAAGATTACCTCTATTAGAGAAGCAACACTAAAATAGTTATTAATATATTGTAAACGTGTTCTAACTTGCATATATATATACTCTACAAAGTTCCTGTACCCCTAATCTAGCCTAAATAGCCTAGTAGAAAAGCTTGCTAGGAAATACTATACACCTATTATTTAGGTAGGATATTACAGGAGAGAATGCCCTAGTATTAGATAGAAGTAACTTAAGCTTAATATATCACTAGTATAAATCCTACTTAGTGTTAGAACAAGTTTACAACATGTTCCTAACGCGTTCTATTACATACTAACTTTAAAAGATCTTTATAGACTATATTAACTAGTTATATCTAATAATATTAGGAAAGATAGATAGTAAAACAGTATTAAACTCTTAAATATAAAAAGTTCTTGTAGAGTATAAGAAGAAAGAAGAAGAAAGAGAAGAAGAAAGAATATATATTTATCTGCTTATATATGCTTACGTAATAGACTAGAATATATTAAGAACTAGTTAAGAACTAGTTACTATATTTATAGACTAACCCTGCCTTATATAAAAAGTAGCTATCTCTTTCTTAAGTTTAAACTATGCCTTTTGCAATTTAAATAGTGCCTTTTTCTATGCAAGTTCTTCCTTATCTACCTCTAGCTTTTCTTTTCTCTCCTTTAGAGCCTAATTACTAAGAAGAGCCTTTTATTACAAAGTTTATAGTTGTAGACTAATAATAAGTTAGGAATATGTTGTAAACGTGTTTCGCGAAGCATACCTTTAGGTTACTGTTAGTAGAGGAGAAGAGCCTAGTAGTAGAGAAGATAGAAAAGGGGCTAGTAAACTTCTTTCTAATACCGCTCTACTACTTGCCCTCTAGCTTTAGGCTTTTAAGCGTGCTCTTTTATTTCTTATTAGGACTAAGATATATCTAGTTAAGTTAGATATAGCAAGACTTGCTTTATTATTATCTAGAGTGTTATTATTATTACAGGACGCGTTCTAAACACGTTCTAAACACGTTTTAATTAGCGAATATGCATAACGCTAGCGTAAGACTTACTTTCTCCCCTCTAAAGCTTTTTAAGGTACCTTTGCTTAAGCCTATTAGGAGTTCTATAATTATAGCGTATTCTAAACTTGCTCTAGGCTTTAAACTCTTTTATATCCTATAGATCCATCTAGTGTACACTACACAATATTACTTATATAATTCTAACAGGTTAAGAATAGGTTATAAACTTACTTCTAAGTAGCCTTAAGAATACTTACATACTTACTAGTTTTATATCCTTTCTAGCCTGCTTGCTTAGCTATATTTAAATAAGATTCTAGTTTTTCCTATACCTCTTTTAATATTTCACTACAGTATTACACAATCCTAGCAGTAATTACTAGGTTTTTCTTATAGATTGCCTAGTTTTAGGCATCTTTAGAGGGTTCGTGTTCTAATTATATAAGAACAAGTTAGGAACACGTTTAGAATAGGTTTAGAATATGTTTACTTACGTAAGAGGAGGTTAGCAAGCTAAAAGTATTCCTCTACTATTAATACCTGTAGTAATTCACTTAGATGTAAAGAGGTAGTATTATCTAGCTCTCTTTTACATACTTTATAAATACTTCTTTATAGATGTACTTAACAAAATCTTATATAAGATTAAAGTTGCTAGCGCTAGTTACGCTTATAGGGATTAATTAACTAGAGATAGCGCCTAAGTCCTAGAAACAAGTTAGAAACACGTTACGAACATGTTGCGGTACGCTATAAAACTTGCCTATTATCTACTTATTACACATGTTAATAGTAGTCCTATAGAATCCCTATAAGTAAATATACCTCTATAACACTTATCTTTTTATAAGTGCTTCACACTTCTAAAAGAAGTTAGTAATAGCAACTTAATACATCTTAGTTATATCCTTATCTATAATAATTTAGCTAAGTGTAATAACTATAATATATTAGAAATATGTTATAAACCTGTTCTTAATGCGTACGCTTCTTTTCCTATAGGTAGAAGATTACTATTAGAATCTCTACCTATGCCCTATATAACCTCTTATATAACATATCTATCTAGAACATGTCTTAATCTAATAGAATTAATGCCTGCTCTTTAAAAAGGTAAATAATTAAGTTACCTAAGCTTAATATAAAGATTTGCTGTATATACGCCTATAGTAACGTGTTAGCAACATGTTCTAAACCTATTCTCTTACACCACGTATAGTTTTAGGATCCTAATACTTTATCCTCCACTTATAGTGTACTCCTCTAAGGCTACTCTTAAATAGGAACTATAGAAGCTTTTTACGCTTTATAATACGCAAGATTTTATCTTTATTTATAAAGCTAATATGCATTTCTTTAATAGAATAGAAACCTTTAAGTTAGAGATAGGTTTAAAGCTAGGTTAAGTTTAGGAACTAGGCTATAATAAGTTAGGAACACGTTTATAACAGGTTGTAAACAACTTATATTACGTAAGCTACAGAGTAAGCATAGGCCATAACACCTTTACTACTTCCTTAATATTACTATTAGATAGTGTTAAGGGAGGAGGAGGTATATATATATGTATACTAAAAGAAATAATAGTAAAAAAAGGTATTACTACTATATCTATTAGTATAATTACTTAGAAGGTAACTTTATATAGGATTTTAAATAGAGATCCTTGCCCTTATAGATAATTAACGCCTAGAATATATTAGGAACGTGTTAGGAATAGGTTGCAATATACCTACCACACTTCTTTATCTAGCTTAACTATAGCTTAACCACAGAATATAAAGCAGGACTACTAGAAAGATTTAATATCTCCCTAGTTAGAAGACCTTGTAGATATATAGAGTCTACCTCTAGTAGTACCTAACTAAAATAATATTTTTTCCTAGTAGCAGATATTAGGCTATAGTTCTAATAGCTAATATATAGTTAAGCCTGTTCTACAATTTACTAACTTGTTATTAACACATTTTAAATATATTTAAGTTTTGCTCCCTACCTAATTTACTATAGTCCTTATTACAGGATAACAAGACACCTAGTAGTCCTTACAAATCCTTAAAGAGAAGCGCTTAATAAGGCTATAATAATAGCTTCTTATTTATAGTTCTCTTTATAGAATTTTCTTAGGTACTACACTTTTTAAGGTTTAGATCTAATTGTATAATGCGTTATTAATAACGTGATAAGAACACGTTTATAACGTGTTCTTAAGATACTTACACGCTTTTACCCTAGAGTATTAGTATTTATACTAGCTTGCTAGCTAGCTATTAAAGAATAGTAAAGTTGTAGGCCTATTAAGATAGATAGACTAGTAGGAGTATTATACCTGCTAGAATTAGAACAATTTAAGAACGTGTTCTTAACGTGTTACCTGTGTAGCCTGCACAAGCACCTCTTCTCTTATTAGGTAAGAGCTATCTTTATGTTACTAAACTAGTATTATATACCTATACCCTTAGCTGTGTAATTAAGGGTATGCTAGGAGAATAGCTACATACTTAATAATTACTAGTATAAGTAGTAGTCCTTAACTATTACTATAAGTAAGGTATATATTGTGCCCCTATAACATATTACTAACCTGTTCTAAACTTATTCTATTTACTTTTACTTACTTCCTTAACGCTACTACTACTATCCTCCTCTAGCACTTTATATAGTTACCTAAATTCATCTCTAATATTACTATCTAGTTTAGATACGTTGTCTAGTACTACTATACTAAACTCTAGTATAGTATTTAGGAACACCTGTATATTATTAAGAACAGGTTTAGAACATGTTTAAAAAAGATAGTAATAAAAACTGCGTTTACTTGCTTAAATTACCCTAATTTATACTTAACTATAGGCTAGTTTATATAACTATAAAAATTTGCCGCTGTGACGTGGACTTGAACCTACAGGGATATTCTAACCACTTGGAGTAAAGCCCAAGTCGCCCGACGCTAAACCCATGGTCATATGACATGCCACCACCGCCAGCCATTTACCGGTATGTGGTCCTCGGTACCCGCTGGATAAAGACAGGCTGTCATGGCCACCAACCAGCTCTCCTCCCATCAACCAATTTATCCGCTCATCTCCGCAGAGGCCCCGCGCTCTCATCGATTCCCCAGATAAATTGGGGGATAAAGTGGTGGGTTGGTTCCTTGCACTAGACTGGATTCATGCTCGTGCCTGCTTTCTTAGCCTCATGTTGTTTCCCGAATCCCCACCTCCCCAGTCCGCTATGTAGATGGCTTGTTCGCGCCATGGGGAGGGTTTAAATAGGGCAGCGCCCGGCTGTTCCGGCCATTTGTTCTGTCCGCTATTGTTTTGCTCGATCTTGGGATCTTGTCGACTTTATTGGTGAGAGAGATATGCAGGGCAGGATGATGATCTTTTCGAGACTTGCGGTTCTGCTGCTTGGCGTGGTGGTGTTGGTGAAGGGTGAGGATGGGGATCAGAATGCTGCTGGCAGGAAGGCGATTCGACCGAATCCTTCAAAGGGGCATTGGATTGATGCGTGGGCGACTATGCCACAGTTGACAGAGCCGGCCAACTTGCCTCCTGCTCCCTTTGTGTGTATCTCGATCGCAATACAATACACCGCCATGTACTGACAAGAGATGGATGTAGAACCAAACCGGCGCCGTCTTTGTAAACTCCACCATCCGCCAGACCCTCTTCATGACCGCCACAGCCAAACAGATCCGCTTGAAATTCTCAAACGTCTTTGGCGGCTCCAACCTCCCCATCACCGCCGTCACCGTCGCCCTGCCCATCAACAACACGGCCGGAATCCACCAAATCCAGCCCCATACCCTCCAAAACGTCACCTTCTTCGGCCAATCCTCCATCAGCATCCCCAACGGCGCCCTCGCCGTCTCCGATCCCCTCAACTTCCCCATCCACGCCCAACAAGTCATCACCGTAACCCTCTACCTCGCCACCGGCCAACTCTCAAACGCAATCACCAGCCACCCAGGCTCCCGCACAACCAGCTACTTCCAATTCGGCAACGCCGTCCACGCGCCCAGCATCAATGTCAACGACCCAGCCAGCCAAGCAGCAGCACACTGGTACTTCCTCTCCAGCATCGAAGCCTGGACCCCACGCCACCAAACCTCCCTCGTCCTCCTCGGCGACTCCATCACCGACGGCCGCGGCTCCACCACAAACGCAAACAACCGCTGGCCAGACCAACTCCTCTCCCGCCTCCAATCCTCCCCCTCAACCTCACACATTGCCCTCTCCAACCTCGCCGCCGGCGGCAACCGCATCCTCGCCGACGGCCTCGGCCCCAGTGCCTTCTCCCGCATCGACCGCGACATCCTCGCTCACCCAAACGTCGCCGCCGTTCTCGTCTTCATCGGCGTCAACGACATCGGCACCACTGACCCTTCCCCCGCCGCACAATCTACCCTCTTCCCCGCTCTCACACAGGCTTACGCACAAATCGTCGCTCTCCTACACGGCCACGCTATCCCCGTCTTCGCAGCTACCATTACCCCCTTTAGCGCGCCCGCGAACGCCTCGAGCATACAGCCGTACAGCCACCCAGAGCGCGAGCGCACCCGCCAACGCGTCAATGCTTGGATTCGCAACAGTGCAGTGTTTGACGGCGTTGTGGATTTCGATGCCGTGGTGAGGGATCCAAGGGTGCCGGAGCGGTTGGATGCGAGGTTTGATGTGGGTGATTATTTGCATTTGAGTCCGAGGGGTTATCGGGAGTTGGCGGAGAGGTTTCCGGTGGAGCTTTTGATCAGGCGGGGTGGGTATGAGTTTGGGGGGTTTTTCTAGGGGGGGGGGGGGGGGATATGAAAAAAAAATAAAAAAAAGGGGGGAATTTTTCCTGGAGACCGGGAAAAAAGAAACTTTTGCATTTTGACAAAATTCCGGCCCGGCCTAATCCCCTTCTCCCATGAAAACCCCCTAAAACCC